AATTGCAGCTATTAAACACACATTTTTTACCACAGTACAAGCCAGGGTACAAAAATATGAACATTAATTTAAACGTTAGAAACACATTTGCAGCCAGAAGCTCTGCAAGGCCACACAGTTCAGCCAACCACAGATAAAAGTGATACACATTTGCCACCATGAGACCAACCTTAAGGGTTGCTGAGGACATTCAGCTTGTATCACCATCCTGAAATTCAGGTCCACGTGTTCAGTTTCTTCAGCAATTGCACTTTTTCATCTTTACATCACAAACCTACTTGTTCCTTAAATGATGCGAGCAATTGCTAGCACTCTCAAATCGTATCTTAACAGCAGAAAACAAGTTTCTATCTCTTACCTTAGGATATTTCAGATGACTCCACTGGAACTATCCTCTCAAAATGCTGTAACTAACAGCTGTTTTAATCACAGAACTCTTTAAGACTTACAATCGCATTTAGACTCCTTGGCCATATTTAGATGAAGCAATCAATTTTCAGCCTTTTATTGCTTATACTAGCCAAACATCAGACAAGCTCCAAACCTAAACATTTATGTTTGTCACAGGGCCACAAATACTGTCTTAATTAGGTTAAACAATTAGACAATTTGAGCATCTGAATATTAAGTTCAAATGCTAAGCATCTGTGGAACAGGCAGATGTGTCCAATGAAGGAATTATGATTAATTTAATTGATTGGCATTATTGCTAACGATGTAAGATGAATCCGCAGCAAAACCAGATGCAAAAGTTCTGGGAAAAGGGTCACTTCCTCTGAAGATCAAAGTCACCATCTTCAGAAAGCTGATCATCCCCTGCCTTTGGAGGAAGGGCATTGGGAAGATTACACACAAAATGTCATTTACATTTGCAATAAAAAAAACTTTGAAAGAAAAAAGCCTTTGCAAACATAAGTGGCATTTTATCAAGAAAAGATTGATTTTTTTTTTATTTTTCAAGCTGTTGAAGTTTCTAACATTTTGACAGACTTGTTTCCAATTCGAGAGACATCAGGGTATTGTTAAATATGCAATATGTATGTGGATTAAGTTAAGAGTAAACTGCTGTCTTCATTTTCTGAACTTTCAATAAATCTTTAGGAAGATGGGAAGGACCCAAAATCATAAGAAAGGCCACACTGGACACTTAGGAAATGGGTTTAGGGGACAGAGGGTTGTTTGGTTGTTTTGGTTTGTGTATTGGGTTCAGGGGGGTGGTGGTGCTTTGGTTTTGGGTTGTCTGGTTTTTTTAACTAGCAGAAGTAGTATTCTAGCTCTTGGATATTCTCTCTATACTGTGAACAAGCAAAGAAAAGGCTCATAAATCAAGATACCATATTTCTGAAAGCTTCGTTAACCACTGGTGTTATTTTGTTCCATATGACAGACACAGAAAATAACCCAGTGAATGCACACATTTAGCATATAGTGTACTGTTAATAGAACATAGCAATGTCAAATAATTCACCATAACATGAAGTGACTGGGTTACATAGTATAAAGATTTTGGTGACTTGCTTTTTAAACAATTAGATCTCTGTCATTTTTCCCTCCGTATTTTAAACACGTATTTTAAAAACTTGTGTGTGTTAAAAAAAAAATAATCTGAAATTTCACACTTTATATATAAGGGAAAAAACTCGCTGCACCCTTAACAGTTGCATTTTGTAGAGGAAAATTCATTACAAATGCTTACTTTAGTGAGATCTACTGAAATCAGAATACCTTTAATACTCCTCACTGTTTTTAAACTAATTTACAAGATGAAACAAATATAAAATATAAAAAAAATTCAAAACATTTTCCATACTGGAAATCTGCAAGATAACTTCCAGTATTGAAAATGTTTTGAATTTTTTAGTCACATTATGCTTTTTATGCATAGTTTACTTCAAGAAAAGGATCCATCTAGGCAACTTTTAAATACAGACAATATTAATCTAAAATTATTTATAGGGTAATAAACAACCATTCTTATGAAAGCTTGTAAGGAATTGTTCGTTAAAATAGAATTGAACGATCCCAAGTTAAGCTAGTATGTTTACACTTAAGTAATACAATCCCCTGTTCGCCTGGGTTGTGGATTCGCTCTCACCTCATTTTGGTTGTGCTAGCAAAAGCAGCTCTGTGAATACTAAGAAGTTAAATTGAATAGTTAAAAAGTTTGCTACGAAATGTTCAATCAAAAATGTACTTTTTCAGTGAAGAACACCAAGACATTTTCTAAGCAAAATGAGAGAGAATTAAGGCTGGAAAAAAAATATTTTTAAAAGCAACGAAATGAATAAGAAACCTTTACACTCACTGACACAGTGGCCATTCAGAAAATTTACAGGAATGGCTAAGCACCTTTATTATACTGTTCAATTTCTACTGCAGGTCTGGGACCTTTACTAGTTGCTGCACAAGACCAAAGTCTGCCTTGTTGGGTATCTGTATTTTTCACAGCAGTCTCTTTGGTTTGCAAACCAGCACATGTTTTTCCTTTCTCACTGTATTTTAAAAGAAATTGTCCATTGTGAAATGGAGGTGTAGAATCTTAGAAATTACATGGAGCCTTACACGTAAGCCTAGAAAAGATTACAAGATTGTACTTCAACCATGAATACATTGATCCGAGATGCATGTAGGAAACCTGTTCAAGACTGCTTAAGGCAATGTTTACATTCACTGAAAGGGATTATGATATGGCCTCCAAATTTGTCAGACACTGAAAAAGGACCCTTGTCCGAGGTGGAGAGGTTGACAGCTGTCAGAGTGTAATTCTTGATCTGGCAAACACGCTGCAATTCAGGTCAATGTGAACAGAATGCAAAGGTCTGAAAGCAAGTAGATGCTTGGCAATGTCTTAATGACACATCACGCATATGGGATGCACTATCTTCAGCCATTTCATGTCAGTTTAGCTATGGAGGAATTAAGTTAAAAGATGCTGATTTCTACTTAACTCCTTACCTGCAACCATACATGCTGGATTGTGGCTTATGAGCATAAGAGTGAAATTTTCAGACTTTTGTTGTGGTCTAGCTATATTACTTTTAAAATACCCACAGAACTATATTCTTTATTTAAACACCTGGACCAAGTTTCTCTTTTCAGAGCAATGCCCCAGCATGTGTTATTATAAAATGGAAAGTCAGGAAACTCTTGATCTAAGTTAAAGGAATCTTTCTAGCATTTAACCAAGACTTCAATTCTACTTCCCTGTGAGGAGAAGACATGCAAGGTATGGCTGGCCGTTACTAGCCTACCAGAACCTGCTTATTCTCATTTTTTTAATCCTCTATTAGAAGATGACATCATGGTGGTTTGGTTTTTTTTTTTTCTCCACAAAAAGCAGATAAGGTGCAAGTCCTAACTTATGAACTAAGGCTATTACTAGGTATTCGGATTACAAGAAGACTAAACATACTCCAGTCTGGTTCATGCTGGAGTTGACTATTTGGCATCTGAGAATAAAGCAACTGATGAAGCAGAAAAATTAATACATAACAATTACCTTCCCTAAGCTTTCAGACAACTCAATAAATGTAAGAGGCTGGTCTGTCTGAAGTGTAAAAACTGAGGAACCAGAATTCTACAATGTGCCTTTAAACTAATAACTCATGGTTTTGCCTATTAGGTTTTCCCTGGTTTCCAGGGACACTCTCTTGAAAGTAACAGTGATACTCATTCTCCTGTTAAAGCCTCCATCCAATCAATCACATTTCCACTTGAAATCTGTAACACCACTGGGCCAGAATATTAAAAATACATTAGCAGAAACCAACATCTCACTTCTTGTGTCCTGGAGATTTTGAACGTCTTTGGTTTTTACATATGCAAGGCTGGGCAAAAATACAAAACCAAAACTTGCCCCTCTCAGGGTCGGCACTTGAACATATACATGCCAATTTTAGGCGGCAAATAAAATCTAGCATGATGACTCATCTGAACAGAGTCAAGGAGCACATTAGCTATAAGCACCTCTTACACACAAGTCAAGTTATAGAAATTGACCTTTATTTAGTAATCAGTTTCTTTAACTTTTTTTTTTTTTGATACAAAGTGACATTTTAATTTTAGTACAGATAATCCATGTCAGAACAGTACCTGTCTGTTTCAGTTGTACCACTGGAGTCTACTCTGACCTCAAGCTTAAAAAAAAAAAAAACAAAAAATGAGATAAACAAAAAACAACTGCTGTCCCTTACCATGAGAAGTACTTTGACTAGTAATTCATCCATACCGTTTCCTATTTTTTAATCTATATATATATAGTATTGCATAATACTATATAAAATACTATATATATATACTTCTTACGTATTATAGTTCAAAATTCTCTATATAGTATGTAATTATATAAATACTATATAAAGTGTTCTGAACTATGAAACAGCATCTGTAAAATACAATTTAAATTTAGGTCCATATCTTTCTTTGAACAACTGTGCAAGAATCCCTTTTTTAATTAAAAAAAGCTGCAAAGGAAACAAACCTACAGCCTGTAAGTGTACAACTAGAAACCCTACATAATGAAATGTTGGGAACAGTGACCAAGCAGCAGTTCTACTCCAAATGATATTTTTAAAACAATTAAAATACAGCACCCAGGAAACATGGCACAAGAGACAGAAGAGACAGGTACAAAACCTGTATTAGGTACACAGAGTCATAAGTGCAAAAAAAACCAGAAAGCAAACTGATATAATGGAGTTTGGTACAACAGGTAAATAAGTATTGCAACCAAAACTAAATGATCACTTATTTTTTGACAGTGAAAACACTAACAATTTAGTACCTTCAAAGCCCTAAAACTGTGGCTGCTCTTAAATAAAAAAAAATCTATTTGAATGCTACACGCTGAAGTACAAAGCTTAAGAATTACCCTGCAAAATTGCACTGACATAAGCTTTTCATATTTACAGTATCTAAAAGTGACAGAACACAGCATGCTAGGCCTAGCTTATAACTCTTCCCCACCAGCACTTAATCCAGGCCCAACAATCAAAAATGATTATTTCTCAACACGTGTTAAGCTTGAATTGTTCAGATATATTATGATGTTTAAGTATTAGATTCATGCATAAAACAAGAAACAATATCTTTGACAGACAAGCATTGACAGGATACAAACAGTGGTCTGCCCTGTAGAGGAGTGTACTTCCTTCTGAGCTTACTCCTGAGACGTACCGATTAAATCCCGCATTATTACCTGGTTGTCAGGTCAACAATGTGCTTAGAAATGGTCAAAATTGCAACTAAGAGTCACATTGTGCATAACACCATTCACTCATCTTCAGAAATTTCACTCTGTTTTGGAGAGTTACCTCATTAAGTGAAAGGACAGAGTTAAAAAAAAACAAAACAAAACAAGACATTCAAGTAAACAGCAACAACCAAATACTCTGAAAAGGTTTTTGTAAACTTGTGATTCTACAGGGTTTTGCAGCATTGTTAAATTCATTACTTGTGGACAGGTACACACAGGTTGCAACCCCTCGTGACAACCTGTCCTGTGTACACGTACGACGTAAGAGACAAGCTCGGTGAAAGGATCTACCCCTTCGCACATGCCTCGTTGGGTCTTTGCATGTTCAGTGTTATCATTCCCCTTCATGAAACAGAAATCACTTACGGATATCTTTATAAAGACAGAAATGGACAGAGTCCGTCGGATAGAAACTTAGTTGGTTATCTACATTTGCAAAGTAGTTTCACAGCGACACAAATCTACAGCAGGCCAGCTGGGATCCACAGGACTTTGTTTTGTTCTTGATTGACGGTTGTCATAATCTGAGTGCAAATGCTTGAAAGGGCTCCTCCCTGGACAATGCCTAGAGAAAAAGAACGCCCCCACATGATTGAGAATGGAAGAGACAGTTATGACTAATTACAAAGAGCAGTCTTCTGCATTTTTCTGCAAAGTGTTTATCAACAGATCAGAATTAATCTACCCAATTCAATATTTGCCAGATGCATGACTGTATTAAAATCAGGAAAAGAATAAACAGAGCAAAGAGGTCAAGTATTCAATATACAGTTCCTTCTGCTAGCTCTTAAAAGAGCCCAGGGAAGTTGCAGAACTGATGGCTATAATCAAGTAAGACAACTGTTTTGTTAAAGGCCTCCATGTACTATTTTCAGAGGCATCAGGTGACAAAGTTTAAGTCTAAAGATGGTCAGAACCTGCTATAATAAACCTTCTCTGTTCAGCATGTGGTGCTAAGAGTTTTATATTTACACGGTAATATACATAGAGACTATAGCTGTAGCAACTAGACACTATTTACAAATTTTAGAAGCAAATTATGAGGCAGCTCACAGATCGTTCGGCTAAATAAAATAGCAGTGGTTGCTACTCCGATTTGTATCATCAACTACACACAAGGAACAAAAGGCCAACAGCAAGCAACACCCCAAAAATCAATTCAAAAGATAAATGAACACCTTGCATTCTACCCTTGCTAAACATAACAACCATAAAAAGTAAAATGTCAGCACTGACCCAGGAGAGGAGAATGTATTAGCTTTAAGACTTAAAAAGTGAGGAGCTTCATGACTTGAGAAACACGTAAGCAAAGCCTCTGGCCTCAGCTACCACTAGTGCTGGAAAAATCTTGTAAGGCTTAAGGTATAATCTCCGTTTTTGAAAAGAGAATTTGATCTTATGTAAAGTATGACTTGACTCTGCAGCAGTTAATGATGTCAGGTGAGCTTGGATATAGAACACAGTAACCAACAGGCTCTATGGAAGGTGACGCAAAGGCAGTGAGAAAGTGATTCAGATTATGCATTGCACTCACAACTTGGTACAGGAAAGAAAGCCACCTTGAAAATGTCATTAGTCAAAAAAAATCCTCATGAAGTAGTCAAAGAGCTCAGGTCTGAGAGAGTGAGAGCTTCATGAGGAAGCTATCATGTCCAACCTGCATAGCTACAGACTTATTTTATGCACAACATTATAATTCCAACAAGTTTAAATGTCAATGCAGTACAAACACCAATCCTCTCTGGCTACCAGCATCTGGAAATGCTGATGACAGCTGGAGTCCACTGTACTTGGCACTAACGGAGGGTGGCCCTTCCCACAGGGCATGTAAGAAGATACACATAGGACTCCCATGGACTGAGTGCCACTTTCACTATCAGGGTGAAATTAAAATGGAACAAATGACTTAACAAGGAGCGGAAGATAACATGTGGTAATGCAATCTGGCCATGTGCATATCAAGTTCCGTGAAAGTTTAGTATGTACCATTTAAATGAACATCTGTATGGCAATTACATACCAGGTAGCTGATTCTGTTGAGAACATGCAGCTTCTCTCGGGATGCACTGAGATAGCTCTATACTAAATACATCCCCCTTCCTTCCCCTGCACTTGGCAGGTATGCCTCAAAATATTTCTGTAAGAATCCCATTGTTCAGGGGATGAAAAGTTGGGTTTTGGCTGGTTTAATTTTTTTTTTTTAATTTTGGTTTGCTTTTTTCTTTTTAACTTTTGTTGCCAGTCACATCAAGATGTCTAGAATTTTATCCCCACTCTTTTAAATATATGTGGAAACATGTGGAAATATACTCTGAAATAAGCGGAGACAGTCTTCAAACTCTGTTTTCTTTCTCTGGTAAAAATATAGTACTAACTAGAATCCAAGATTCATATAATATACTTTATGATGTCAAAAAGGCCTCTGAAGTTAAATTTAATTATTGCAAATTACAACGCATGCTCAAGAAACCTTTGACAATTTTTTTCTTGTTTGAAAGTATGTTTCAAAAATATATTAATTTACACTACAGGGTTTTTTGTTGTTGTTTTGTTTGTTTTTTACAATTACAAAAAAAACCCCCTCATATTCCTTACATGATATAAAACTGAGAACACTGTGTCCAGTTATCTTCACCATACTTCCAACACTCCTGGCTTGCAATAAAACATTCTCAGAAACTCTTTAGGTCATAAGATTTGCAACATGCTAAACCAAAAACATGTAAAAGCAAGGAATAGTACTTGTATCTTGAGATTTCCTCTCCCAGTAAAATAAAACACCAGAGCAAGAGTTTGCCAAAACAGAAGACAGAATTAAAAAAAAAAGTGCTCTTTGAAGGAACATAGGATCTTCTGAATTACAGTGTAAATGGATTAAATTGCCACCGTTTACCTAGTGAAATGTTGATTAAATACGAACCTGTAAAGTACCTGCTATACTCTTGTTCTATTTTCTGAGCTGTCTCAAACTGTTCTTTGGAATGTTTTTGTGTAACTTTGTCCCTCAGGAAGATTGGGTCTTTTTGCTCTCTGTAAAAAAAGGAAAGAAAAAAAGAAAAACCTTGTGTAAGAGTAATGTTTTGTTAATGGACTTGAAATTATTACCTCCAGTTGGGTGAACGTGAAAGGCTAATTAATATGCAAGGATACTCCTGTGCACAGAGTGCCATCTACTGTGTTTCAGCAGTATCAGCATAGTCATCAGGATCCTTTCAGTGTTAACAAATTTATATGCTATCAGACCAAGATAATATTCCTTGAAGGCCTCAGAGACTGGGAGGAGGTTGAGGAAGAAAGAATATAATTTTTTCAAGTGAATCAGATCATCTCATATACACTCCAGGACTCCCTACACAAAGCTGGGCTCAAGTACAGCTGTTTTAAGATCTTGAAGTACCAAGCATTGAGCAAATAGGATATTTCTATGTCATCTTATATATGACATGTTTTTGACATGACTGTTTTTCTATTATACAAGCTGTTGGAAATAAAATAGGAAAAAAAATAGAGAAATACATGGGGTGAAAAAATATATTTTAGTTCTGATCAAGGCTCATAAGACTTTCCTCCAAATTTGACTTGGGGTCCCCAGTGGGAGATTCTGTTTAAAAGGAAGCAGAATTTATGATCAACTAGTAATGTCATATAGATATGTACTAAAACAATATAAGCATAGTTTCTTACAGCAGTGAGGAAAGAAGCACAATTTTATTAAAAAAAAAAATCACTACTAAAATAACCTATCACTACCATGCAGCATTTCAGAAAAAGCCAAGGGAACCTGTGCTATATCAAAAAGGGTGTTTGGAAAAAATCCTTAGTGCTCATAATAGGCAGAGACAATGTGCCGTTGCATCTTGTTTTGATGACTGCTAGAAATCCTTGCTTGTCTAGTTCCATCACTCTCTGTCACTTTCCAAAAAGAGGAAATAGCTTTAATGGTCACCATTCCATTTCCAAAGGGGCTCCAGGCATGACAGTTCCATTTATCATTGGATAAATGCACATTTATCAAGTGCATGATCCTACAGTGGTAATGAAATACACCACATTGCTTTATGTCTTACTTCTACTTGAAAGTGGTGATACTTATCTTCTTTATTAAATGGTCATAAAATTTACCTAAAGATCAAGAATATAAGAAGTCTTCAACTTGAAAAATGAAGATAGCACAAGCATAAGATCTCTCGGCAAAACTGTTTTTTAATACTTATGTTGGAAGATTATGTCACTTCTTGCCAAATTAATCTAGAAAAATGTGTTAAGGCTTACTCAAACATTAGGGGAGGGACTGGGTTTTGTAAATCCCCTGTTCATTCCTGGCTATATTTGAGCACGAAATTCACAATTACTGAAAGAGCACCGCCTGAGAACACCACAGTATACACACTCCATGGCAAAAGGGGACTTCCCTTGCTGTTTTCATGGGAGAATGAAGGTGGAAAAGTTGAGGTTATGGATCAATTGGTACTGCATCCACACCCTTGGCCCCACTGAGAATATGAAAAACAGCTCTTTTTCATGGTCACCACTTAATCCTCAATGGATCTCCCCCATTTCCACCTTACGATTTCATGCAAAGGTGAGCAGGAAAGATCTGAATGCCTCCTGGAGTACATACAGTTTAATTTACATTGTTTAATTTCTCTGAAAGACTCAATTGTCATGCAACCAAAATGAGAACCATTTACCCCACAGTGATTTTTATGAGGATTAATTTCCACATTTTAAAGAGGTTTAAGATGACTAGGATGAAATAAACAATAAAGATAACAATCTTATTTTAAGCTAAAATAAACATCCCTGAACTATACCCCTCACAGACTTACTTGATTTGTTTAGCATTTTTGTAGCGAATAAAAATTACAATAGGGTAGATATGAACACTGTGGAGCCGTTCGATGGCATGAGGAGCGATGTCAAGCAGACAATGACAATCCTAAGATCAAATGTAAATGCAAAACACTCATTCAGTTAAAAAGCACAAGCACACATGCAAATTCCCCATTTCTTCCCCTACTTAAATCATAGCAACCCAACAGAATTTTGCTACATATTTAGCATTTTGGGGCTACTGAGCAATTTGTACCCAAAGGATTTATAACAAGACAGAAGATGAAAAACTGCAAGGAATTTCATTCACAGTACCAAAAGCATGCACTGATAGAAATAAAAGTATTTGAAGAACTAATGAAATGAAAACTCAGATTGAAATATATGCAACACTTTTTCCAAATTTAAATATTCATATTAATTTTCCCTTTCTGAACACATATGCAAACACAAGCATTAAAGTAATAAGACTTTCTGTGTGGTTTGACAGAAAACTACAAGCAATGTAGAGATTTTAATTAACACCTGTCTCCAGGATTAATATGTTGTTTATGTTCTATATAACTGCATTAAATGTAATAGTTAAAAAACCTAAATCCTCTTTGGGGGAGGTAGGGGGTGGAATCTATGTCATGTAAGAAAATAATTTCTATACTTAATAATGCTGCAAAGAATATGGACACCCCTAGTTTCTACAGAGGTGAAGTTACATAAAATAATCTTTTAAAAGTTACATGCCAAAATGAGGTAACTTTTATTTCACACAGCAGACTGGAGAACAATTCTCTGAATGCCTTAAAGGAGGACAACACTAACGTAATTTCCACCCTCCGAAAATAGTACAACCATATACTGCAAATTGTACAAAGAACTACAGCATCAAAAGTGACTCACCTTTTCTGTTATCTCTTTTATTGAAGCTACAGTTGTCACATCAAAATGTCCACTCCTCCGTTTGTAATCAATAAACAGGCAATCCTTCACGCCCCGTTCAATAGCTTGTTGGGAAGCTTTCATAACCTCTGTTTCACAGAACCAGAAGAGATCCACTTTCACTACTATTCCTTAGGCACAGAACAAGGCTGACAAAACGATGTCTACAAATTCAGATTCTTGGTTTTTTTTTTTCCCATGTTTGTGCTACAATTTAGTTCACATATATAGATGTCACTATCATGTGTTCTAAGCAAGAATAAATAGGTTATATTTGCATACTTACCAAGAGGACATCTGCAAAATTTTCCAGGGGATTCTTTGACCAACATGTCTTTCACAGCATCAAGTAAAGGTCCTAGAATAAGGACAGGTCTAGGAGAGGTACAGTCCACTTTCTGTACACGCTGATATGCCAGACTTGCAGAATCTACACAAACAGAAAATTTACTTATGAAAGTATTAATTATTTTCCTGGCATTCCTCAGATAAGCACAAGCACCCTAACATTATGAAAACAACTCTCTTGCAAGGGATAAGGGCCTTGACAAGTACAAAAAATACTCACTAGCTATTATTGCAATTTTCTCCACTTGACAGCTTAAAATAGATGTTTTGCTAATTGAACCCCCACCCTCACCCAAACTTTAAAACTAATCATTCTTATTTTTTCATAGAAGTGTAAACAGGACACAATATTTGGTTTCTCTGGTTTGGTTTGTTAAGCTCTTCCAAGGAAGCAAGCACTGTAACCAACACGATTTTTGTAGAGGAGTGAAGAAATAGAAGTAAAATTTTTTGAGTGGTGCCCAGGATTTCTGTCTAGATTAAATTACCTGGACAGAAATTAAATAGTTGAAAGGAAGATCAAAACCGTGCGTCAAAAAGTAATCTCCCTCTGCAAATGAAACATTAACACCAATAAATCTATGAATAAACTACCATAAAAATTAATTTGAAACACTCTGCCTTGTTATTTAATACAAAAAAAAAAAGGTTATTAAAAGTATGTATGTGATGGGACATATGCTCACCGCTTGCATTCAGACCAACCAGAAAGCAACATTATTCATTGTGTCATGCTGCAGCTGTTTAAAAATGAAAGAGAAAGAAAGGCAGCCCCCTCCCAAGTATAACAAAGGTACTTGCCATCCAAGAAAGGAATTGAGTCTGTACTGATTGTATCAAGAGCCAGTAAATCCTTTCCATCTTTGGAACCACTTCGCTTGTGTTTATGCTTTCTTCTGAAGAATGACCTCCGGGCTGCTGCTGACAATGTCTTAGATGAGCTGTTTTCATCTTTAGCCTCAGACATGCTGTGCCTCCTGCAGAATTCCTGATCCATCCTGTAATGAAACAGACTAACTGGCTGGTATTTAAACTTATTTTTTTAGATTTTTTCAACAAACAATATCACCGCTGCTTCTGGAACACACTGGAAAGGCTCATCTCAAGCCTTAGCTTGAGTATCTTCATCACAGAAAATTAGTCATAAACAAAGGTTAACATAAACCAAATAAAAAACATCTGAAAACCTTAAACTACCATAATTTCCTTAGGATTCTTATAATATAAACAGCAGCATGTCACAGAGGGTGACCACTCTGACAGCCAGGGCAAAATTCTCCCAAGGCAGAAGCAGCAGTATGCGTCTACTTGCCGGTAGTCAGCCTCGCACAGAAGTGAAGATCCCATTCTTTATATGAAGCTGCATGTCAGACTCATCCCTACAAATAATTTATTAGCAATACAAAATAACAGTTTTATTTTATGCAGTTTTATCTGAGCACAAATATTTTGGTCACATAAAACACGTAAAATGCAGTTGGTTTTACTATCCCTCTTCCAGTAACAAGCCTATCAATGATGTGTATGAGTCTTTATGTATATATTGTACTTCCACACATTCCACATAATGCTGTTGCTCCCACTGTCAGGATGAATTCCGAGTTATGAGAGGGAGAGAAGACTACTAGAAGAGAAAGAAATCAGAAAACCAGTAATTCTAAAATGAAAGAAATATTTTAATCATTAAGTGATAACTAATGTGATTTCAATAACAAAGTAAAAATTTTAGTTCCTGCATACTCCTCTTAACTGCTCCACCAACATTACGAGATTGTGATGGATGCACAGTCTTACAATGATGCCGTCCACAGATAACTGAAAACACTGATGCTTCCCAAGAATGACTGTGATAAACGTGGATTCAAGGATATTTTTGCTGTGGTTACTCTCACTTTTGTTATTGAATTATCTATCACAACACTGGTCTATGTATCATTTCATTTCTAGTTTACTATTTAGTGGCATTATAAACAACTTGATAGAGCAATATATTTATATTCAATGTTATTAAAAGAAGCCATCCCTAAAATGACTCACCTAAGAATTAGTATCGCCCCGAAACAACAGAAGTAAACAAGTCTATAATACCACATCTCACTAGTCAGACTTTTAAAGACTGTAAGATAAAATAGTGTGACTGAGGTCACTCACATATATTTACTTGGAATCTGTCCTCTTTCCAGCTTCTGAGCATTCTCATCTAGCTGCCAAGCCATCCAGCAACCGAAGTTTCCCTGTGGTAGAGTGTCATCAACATACAAAATGTCATCCTTCTTAAAGGTTAAATCCTGTTCCACCTCTGCTAAACGGTCATAAAGTGCTCTGGAAAGGAAGAAATAAATAGGCTCTGCAACTCATTTCCACCAACTCAAGGGAAGAACATACATACTTACTATGAAAAAAGTTCAGATTAGTGGCACATACTACATTTCAAGAGCATACAAGTTTACAGCAAAACCTGCAGACTTACTATGTTACAGATGTGTACTCACCATCAGGAACTAGTTGGGATAAATTAGTAAACTTTGAATTTTAAAAATGTGGTGAAACTGATGCACTCTCTCGTGATGGTCAGCATATTATCTTAACAGCCTTATGCTGTCATTACCAGTCACACTAAAATACCTGATATAGAATCCATCTCCAGGAAGCTCTTTTATCTTATTAAACTCTTCTATTCTGTATTGAGTCTTTATTTTGATGTTTTCTCCAGGCTTCAACATTTCAAGATAAGCTTCCTCAGCTGTTTTATTTCGCATATCAATGGACCCATACTGCAAAACACAAAACGTAGAAACCCTTGGGTGGGAAATTGTATCTTAACAGGCAACAGAATTAGGTGAGCTTGAAAAACATGAAAAATGAGTTTGTTTTTCCCACTGTCAAGCTCTATATACAAGTAAATCTTGCCACTTAACTCTAGTAGAATCTGCGCCTCAAGACATCTAGCAGGAGACTGACGAGTTGGGGTGGAAAACAAAATACCCAAATAAAGACAGCAGACACACACTGCGAGAGTCTGCACTTTAAATAGTTTTCAAAGTGTAAGCTGAGAATCATAAAATTCACATTGGAAAGAATTTAGTATTTTTACAGAAAGCAAGTGGTCTGAGGGAAGTCAGAAACACAATTACAAAGCAAAATCTCCACCAGGGTACTAGAAGCACAATGGGAGAGTCTCAGTGCTCAGTCTCAATGCTCAAGTTGTAGTTGAAATGCTCATAAACACATGTGTTTATCACCTTAACAGTCCTGGCAAGTAGATAAATATTCTCGTTTCAGACACAGACAGCAGAGTCAAAGACATATTGCATGGTTTTCCCTAAACTGTCATTGGAATTTCACAGAGATAAGATCAATATTCTTCTCTGTTTCGCAGTATCTTTTATATCCTTGCCTTTCTCCTATACACAGCAACTGAACTCAAGGTTGCCTATGTAGCTGAAGAGAGCAGGTGTTCATAATCCCAAGTGGGCATACAATAGTCCTTCAAACTTGTGCAGAACTTGTGCTCTCAACAGTGGCAGTCCTCCAAGTCCACATCATCCAGCTCCTCATGTGTTGCAGCCAGAATGAAGATTATGCATTCCCACCATTCTTACCTAGCTTTTGTGGCAGGGACTCAAGCTTCACACAACATCTCCCATTGAGAGACAGTACAATTCGTTGTACAACTCCCTCTTCATACCACCCTAGACATTTTGTCTATTCTGCCAACTTTTCTTAATAGCTTACCTCAAGTATCATGTCACCCAAGACTAGTCCATCAGGTCCTTTTGCTGGGCTATCATCATCTACATCTGAGACAAATATTCCATACAGGTTTCCACCACATATCTGGATCCCTAGATCCACTTGGGATTTTTTAACAACAACAGTTCTAGGTTCAGGAGTTCTTTTGTTTGTGTCCACAGGGCCCCTTTTTGACAGGGAGAAATAAAACAAGTAATTCAGTTTAAAAACTTGCATTACATACAATCAACTAGCCATCTAAAGAAGATATATTTACATAATTATTATTCAAAATAGGTCACCTACAGATACAGTCTTATGAGACAAACATCATGTTCCTTGCAGACCTTCTTAACCAAACCAAACTTCTAGTAAGCTTTCTTCACTCCTTGCAGACCCCATCTTTCAAAAACAGTCTGAAAACATGTGCTTTTATCCTGGGGTCCACTTAACTTGTCTGATGACTTACTTCAACCAGACACAGCATTCACACAAGTACACTTCGTTTTTTAAGACCCTTCACATCCCCCCTGACAATTTTTTTTTTTTTTTTTTTGCCTTAAAGCTAAAATTTTACTCTCTACCTTAAGGAATTCCGGGGACTTGTAGTTGGCGTGGTTTGTTTGGATGTGGGTGTCATTGTTCCTTCATCCTGTTCACTCACAGTATCTATTACGGAATGATTGTCAGGCGTTGCAGCTCCACTGCCTTGAGGGGTGGAATGATTACTCACAGGTTCTAGGCGAGAACTAATAGAAAAAGAAAAAGGCAGACTGGTGGTTAGATTTTCACCAATGCCAAATATTTTTCATGCAAACAAAGTTTTTAATTTGGCCATAACAGAAGCATAAAGTAAGGAAAAAAGAAAATCCCAAATCAGCATGACAAATAACATATGTTAACTGTAAGTCTAAGAGAAAGATAAAGCTCAGTTTTAAGGGTGATTATGCATCAAAATGAGATGGACAATTTCACCAGGTCATATGCCTTTTCTAATTAGTTTTTGGAAACTCCAACTATAAAAAAATTTTAAGCAGATTTGAGGTACTAAAATCTCTTACTCCTAGGAAGAAGTAATCTTTGGTTTTAGTTTAACATATCTAAGGATTATGCCCAAATAAAAAAGAAAATATAGTAGGTGCATCAAGCATTTTTCTTTTCTTTTTGACAAGCATGTATTCACACATTACTTTTTAAAGCAATCACACTTATCAGCACAAATGTGCTGACATTTGCAAACACATTACCTGTACAGAAGTTATCTACTAGCTAGATAACTGCATGAACCAAAAAATATTTTTTTCAAAGTCTATCCAGCCTTACCTTGATCGCGAATGATTGCCAAGCTGATACATATGTGGGTTATACTGAGCCAGAATAGTAATGGTGTCGCACTGCTGTCCAATGATGAGTCGAGCCTGTTGCTCCGTGGCATTTCTCAAATTTATTCCATTAAACTAGGGAAAAAATGCACAAACCAGGATGTCAAGTTTTCAGATGGAAACTAGCAAAATCATTCCTTCAATCTCCTAATTAGTTTAATGTCTAAATGCTGACTTATTTCTACTGGGGTAAATAGGAGGCTGGAAGTGCTGCTATGCAATGATTTCTAGAGTTTACTCCTTGGAAGGAATCACTGTCATTTTAAAATATTTGGTAACCTGACCATGAGTTTAAAATCTTTTTACTATTGAAAGACATAAGTATTCTGAGCTGTGTTACAATTTGGTATCACTGATTAAATGCAAGTTGGTTCAGATAATCAATCTGAATAAATTCAGCTTTAAAGATAAATTCACATCCATGATCCATGCAGGTCCACTGTAGTATCATCCACACACTGGGTAACAGAAGATGCTTTAACATAAAGAAGCATAAACAGATTTAACATTTACAAAGCAGCTCTGTACTTTATAAAATGCTCCTCCACATCTTTCTTTAATACTGTAGGCAAAACCATGACTGTAGCTAATCTAAAGACTACCTGAGTGTTTTTTAAACCAGGTATCTCAGGTAAGGATACGGCACAGCAACAGCAGAATGAAACTTGGTACAAGCCAGCTGCTTGACTATTTATTCATCAGGCAGAGTATGGTGTTGGGACTATATTGCTTTAGAGTACTGAAACTAGCTAGTTTAAAATTGAATTATATCTAGCAAGATGCAATGCAGATCTACCATCAAAAGACATTATTTTATGATAAAGCCTGACATTTTATGAAAAAGCCACAACAATCACAATTACTGGAATATTACAATACAAAGGAAGTACCCTTTGGTATTTCTCACAGCACACAATCTTTCACAAGATATTTTTTGGGGGAAGGTAGTTATGGCTGGAGTCATACGAACTGATTCATTAAGCCATAAGAATAGTAAGCAAACAATTACCTCTAGTAACTGATCACCATACTCAAGGCCAGCTTGATGGGCAATGCTCCCACCTGTTACTTTAGAGACAAATATTCCACCATTTTCTCCGCTCACAATGGAAATCCCTAGTGGCTCAGAACCCTTCTGCACTTTAACATGACGTGGCTCTTCCATGTAGGGCCTTTTAGAGGAGATAGTTAAAACTGATTTGGACACAATTGCACTTGAACCATTACAATGTCAAAGTCACATGCAATACTTTATGGCGGTCTGAATTGTAATAATAAACAGGTTTAAACAGTTACTTAAAAAAAAAATCACTGTCAACTGTCTTAAATGCATTTCTTCAACACCATGCAATGTACAGTGGCAGAAGTAAATGTATTCCAGGTATATGACTGCTCAAAAACATTATGGTAAGCATGAATTATAAATAGTATGGTGGTGAAATTTATAGGAAAGAAGCTTCCAGATGCATGTTACATAAAAGTAATTGAACCACTGTATAGAATATGTAATTTACAAACCATATTCCAGAAAGGTATATTACAAATATAAATGCTAGGAGTCTTTATTGCCAGTGAAATTAAACATCATAAATAATAAGGTGGTAAACCAAAGAACAACAATGCACAAATATCAGACTGCATATTTGT